TTTTACAGTGTAATTTAAAATTAATACTAATACGACTTTTCTATCTGATTTCTAAAAAGAAATAAATGACTTTCATTCGTGAATTTCAATCAAACGCAACACAGTTAAGGCTGCAACAAGGAGGCAGGGCCTAATTTATACGGGAAATGCTTATTATGACCTCACACAAAAATATAAGTTCTTCAAATTACCACAAAATGAAATGATTTCCTATCTTAAACTGTTGAATAGCTTTGAACTACATCAAAACTGACTAGTGCATGCATTATTGTCGTTGATTAAACCCCCAACAGCAATATATAAACAATTCACTGATCGCAATGCACTTGTCAATGTGACGTCATATCGTAAAATTTGACTCAGTAAAAGGCGGATCAAGTTATATTTTTTTACCATGAAAATGTATTTTGTAATTAAATTAAATATTATTTGCAGATATATAAGAAGCCATTAACTTGGATGCGATGTCTATTTTATGATTTTATTCATATACTTCCCGTACATTCCCTACACAAGCGATACTGCCGTATATTTGTATGCAGATTCATTGAAGGGTAATAGAAGGGTCGTAATAAATCGATATATTGCAAGGGCATACCCTCAATGAATTATGACAAGCTTTTACAAATATACACTCAAGAAGTATGAAGGTATTTGAAAAGTGCTGCGAACCAGCTGTTGAAATCTTGCAAATGAATTAATTATATCTATATTTAATGTACTCGACCAGCAAAATATTCAACATGCGGTATAACAAATGTAATTTTAACAATTAGATAGTAGAAACTATATAGGTTCCCAGCACTTTTCACAAACTACAAAGGGTGTTGAAAATAATTACATATTAAACTTAGATTTTTAGCTTGGTTATGCCCTTGCAATATAAGAATTTATAGATGACCTCAATACTTCAGGTATATTTGCTAAAATCATCACGTGACTGTCACATCACGTGACAAGTCTAAATAAGAAATCTAATCGTCCTCAACATGTAGTTTTCAACCACATTGATTTGTCCGATAATAGTAAAGTCCTAAAAAGAATCACCAATCTTTGTAAAGAATGTATTTTCTATCTAAAAAAAATTCGTCGATATTTCCATTTGGCACCTTAATTGTACTAGGAAAGTTTTCGCAGACGTACGCATCGAATTAATCGCGGACGTTTTAGTAAACATTGGATTGAAATTCTTCTTTGCAGTTGAATTTCAATCCACCTTGGCTATTTTCTTAGGCAAAGTGTTAATGATTTATCAAAAGGATAAAAAAAATATTATTTAAATTTCAGTATAATATAAAATTGAAACAAATAAGACTTCTCTATCCAATTTCTAAAAAGAAATTAATGACTTTCATAGAGGTAATTTGACAATTAAGGACAGAGATGGTGTTCATGGAAATGAATAACCCGTTTACGAAAACATAAATACTCTGTCCTGCAAAGGCAATAAAATAAGTAATCTGACATTGAATTATGGATCTTTAGTCATCTGACCTGTGAGTACCTGTATGAAATTCCAACTCTTTGCTATCGAAGATGAAAAATCGAGTTTATGAATATCACTCCTTCTTGTTTTATTTAAACGATAAAATAAGTTCCTGGTCATCTAAGAAAAAAATGTTTTGCCTGCAATGGCATAAAATGAACTTTGAACAATAATTTTGATCCAATGTTTTCTCAAACGTCTGCGTTGAATTCTACCTACGTATTTCATTGTGATATTTACCTAAATAAGTATTTTTCTTAAAGTGCGCATTTCCTGTGTGTGTCACTATTACTAGCATATATAAATATGTTTAATTGCATACAATAATACAAGGATGGGGAATAGGACGAAAGACCTCTCGTTGCTTGCAACGAGTTTCTAGTTCTTTTTATTTTTTGACCTTCTAATTTTGTGCACGCGATTTCTCACAGACTATTGGGTTAATTGGAACGAAATTTGCAAGGAAAACGTGTCGTAGGCTGATTTTATTTTATCCGGGAGAAAATTCCGTAAATCACATTTGGTGCCAAGTTATTGACCATTTCCTGATTTTAAAATGAAATTTTGTCCTGGGATAATCTCAAGAACGGCTGAAGATTTCAATGTCAAACTTTCAGAGATTATAGATCGTTATAGATACTAGCCAGTACGTGACCTTTTGTTCGTCGTCGGCACTTCCGGTCGCTACCGGAAGCAATTTAATAAAGTCGAATTTTTCAACGTTTATGTTTCATAATATATTTTAATGAAATTTACAAGAATGACAGACTTTCTTTTCAGTATGTTTAATATATATATTTTTTGAAAATTGATAAATCCAAACTCGAAATATTTTTCTGTTTTCAACACTGGAATGAAATACTTTTTAGAAGTAGAATTTCAATCTAATGTTTTAACAGACGTCCGCATCGAATTAATTGCGGACGTCCGAGAAAACATTAATTGAAATCGTATGTTTTCTCAGACGTCTGCATGGAATTGATCGCGGACGTCTAGAAAAACATTATATTGAATCGAATGTTTTCTCAGATGTCAGCATTGAGTTTATTGCGAACGTTTGAGTAGACATTGGATTTAAATTCTTGTTTGCAGTTGAATTTCAATCCACTTTGGCTATTCTCTTAGGCAAAGTGTTAATGATTCATCAAAAGGCAAAAATGTTATATAGTTTCAGTGTAATTATAAATTTATACAAAAAAGACTTTTCTATCCAATTTCTAAAAAGAAATGAATGATTTTCATAGGGGTAATTTGATAATTAAGTACAGGGGAGCTGGCATTTTTGGAAATGAATAACCTGTATTTGAAAATAAAATTTCTCTGTCCTCCAAAAGCAATAAAATAAGTATGAGGAGTTCTTGGAACCGGAGCTTTTGGTATTAAAAAAGTCATTTTTCGACCCCCATTTGACACCCAGGGTTAGATGAAAATTCCAAAACCTTATTGCACATGTAAAGGACACCACCAATCATCTTTCAAAAGATCATTTGGCTACTGCGTAAAATGTAAGGGGATTTATCGGAACCAGGCTATAGTATAAAAACCCATCATTTTCGACTCCTATTTGCCCCCAGGGTGAAAACGAAGATTCTGAAATCCTTTTGCACATCTACTGGACACCATCAATCATATTCCAAAAGATGATTAGGCTACTGCGTAAAATGTAAGAGGAATTCTTCGAACGAAGTTTTTGTAGGGAAAAAAAGCGTCATTATTTTGTTACCGATTTGCCCCTGGGGTAATATTTGAAATTCAAAAACTTTATTGCACATCTACAGGTCACCATCAATCATATTCCAAAAGATGATTAGGCTACTCCGTAAAATGTAAGAGGAATTCTTCGACCGAAGTTCTTGTAGGAAAAAAAGCGTCATTATTTGGTTCCCGATTTGCCCCTGGGGTAATATTTGAAATTCGAAAACTTTATTGCACATCTACAGGACACCAACTATCATATTCCAAAAGATACAATATATCCGAACTTTCTTTAGAAAGTGCGGGTGCAATCAATATTGTAACACAAGGCAGAATTGATTGAATTGACTATATACTGTACATGTACATAATTTGGCGTATTCAAAATTTAGCGCAGTCTCTGTTTATGAAGTTGATGGCGTAATCATGAATTAGTGCTATATATATCCGTGCCTTATATGGTATTTATAAATGATTTCTTAACGGCATTCATGAATTAGCGCATTGTTGAAAGGCTCTAAAATATGAAGCCCGATTTTTAAGTACATATACAGTAATTTTCCTTGTCATTATCCCTTCGCAACGAAGTATTGCACTTTGTATGTGCGTGTTAGTTTGTGTGTGTTTAATGTTGTCCTTCTGCAAAACATGTGACGATACCAAACCCCCAGGGACTACCATCTGAACAAATTACAATCTACACTACTCATTTAGCTGTCACAGAAGTTTCAGCCTTTTAAAAAGTTTTCCAATATAATTTAATGTAAATCTTTATTCCTTATTGTGACTCCACCCAACCCATGGGGACCATGATCTGTGGCCCCATCCTTTCCATGGGGGTCATGATTTAAAAAATTTAGAATCTATGTTACCTAAGGAATCTTCTAAATGAGTTTCAGCTTTTCTGGCCCAACGGTTCTTGAGATTTAAAAAAAAATCCTATATATATTTCAATGTAAAACTTTTATCCATATTGTGACCCTAACCTACCGCCTGGGACCATGATTTGAACAATTAAAAATCTACTTTGCCTTAGAAAGCTTCCAGGTAAAGCTTTCAGTTTTTTTCTGGCAGGGTGGTTCTTGATAAGATTTTTTAATGAACCCACCTCATTTTTCCTTTTCTTGATATGGGACTTGGCCCTTCGTTTTAACTATTAGAATTCACTCTACCTAGGAATGCTTTGTACCTACATTGGTTAAATTTGGCCAAGTAGTTCTTGAGAAGAACTTGAAATGTGAAAGAATATATCCTCATCACTGCTAAAATCATGGCCACCATCGCATCCAAATGATATAAAAAGGATTTTGTTATTGGGATATGCGTTGAAGGGACTCTTTGCATTCGCGTCGGAGGTAAGCTGAGCTCGTTTTCTTATATTTATACCAAATTTTAAAAAAACGAAGAATGTGATTCGACCCCTTTTATTAAGTTATGGCCTAAACTGTGAACTGTTTGAACTCGGTATTGAAAAGACACTAGAACTGTTATTCTGCGAGTTTCATCACACAAAACTAATCGTGAAAGTATTATTTGACATAATCATAATTAAAAATTTGGAGCAAAACATAGAAGTATAATTTTTGGAGGCCTATCAGTAATCCACATTTCATCAACATTTCATCACAAAACTATGGGATATACATACAGAATTTCCCTGATAGTAAATGAGCTCTGCTAGATGCATCTGCAATGCAAGTTACGGGTCTGGCTTCAAGTTATAAATGAACTGATTTGTTGTTATATGAACTGTATATTTGATGCCAAAATAGATGGCACTTAAATATAAATTTTGTTTGTATTGAAATGTGAAACTCACTATTCATACACTTCCTGTTGTATGGATCAAACACTCCTTCAGAACATGTTTTCACATTTAGAGTTCTGTTGTCTTTACAAACAATGTAATTTTTCTCCCACAAGAACTCCATGATTGGATTCAAACCATTTGGAAGTCCAATGCAGCTGGGAAGTCTCTCTGTGCAGGGCTTGCAATTCTTCTCCTTTTCTGTACACAAATTCTGCAGGTATTCACCTATTTTTATAAACAGAATTACATGTAATAGCATTAATTAAGGAAGAGTAATGGGCCAATTTGCCCTATATTATATATATGTTATTCTATGATCTTTTCACACAGAGCCTGTTTGCCCGAAGTAACATTTAAGAAATAAGGTATCATTTTAAAAGTTTTATCGGGATTTAAATACGGGTTGGTCATGTGATCAAATCCCATAAAGCCCGAAGGGCTTTATGGTAGATTTGATCACATGCCAACCCGTATTTACATCCCGATAAAACTTTTAAAATGATACCTTATTACTTATATTTATATTTGTGACAGATTTATTATAAATAGTAAGGTTATAAAGTTTTAAACCCATAAATGATTTAGTTTTTTAAAACTCAATCATAGCAACAGATTTTGCATGGTAACACTGTGTTACCATGGCAACCATGAAAGTTATTTTTAGAATAATTTTGCCAATACCTGATTACTTAAGGTCAAATATTTTTTACTGTTCTTTTTAGTTGTTGATTGAGTTTGATCATGTAACACCTACCATTTGTGAATACTGAGCGTTTTCAGCATCTAAAATGTATTCCAAATGTACCCATGGTTATCACTTACTTAGAGATAAATTCTAAATAGTTTCTTTAAAGCATAAGTGGCAACAAGGTGTCATATTTTTGGGAGAATGGTTTGTTTGTTTTTCTTAGTCTTTATTAAGGCTTAATAAAGATTCAAAGTAGCTGAAAATCTCAATTTTTTTTAACTTTTCTGGCTGTTACCATGGCAACCAAGATACATAGCAACGAAATTTATATGATATTTGTTTCTGGTGTCAAGTTGTAATAATGGGCAAAGTTTCATCAAAATCGTTGACCATGTGTGGCAAAGAAGTTTAAGTGGTTACAGAGAATCGCTATTAAAATGGTTCCACAGTATGCCCAATTGGCCCATATTCTTTTATTATTACAAATTAAACTAAGTCAAAACTTGATGATTTGAGTGTAAAATGGCCTTTTTAGAAAGTGTGCATAATATAACATTTCTCTCTCACAAAAAATTGTTTATATTGCATCAGTACATGAACTTTTTAAAATACCTCATATTTTACCAAATATTTATATGCATTTCAATTTGGTCATTGTGAATTAAGAAACTCACATGGTGCTCTAGGTTCTTTTCTGCTACTACATATGACTTTGTAGTACTCCTGGCATTCAAGCGTGTCAGTGGAGAAAAGATGTGGGTAGGGACATTCCTTGATGTACTCTCCAATCACATGACCAGGACGTGATTTGCTACAGTCAATGAACTGGGCACAGTCATATGGATTTGGGCGTACGATGTTTGGATAAGCTTCACATATTTCAAACAGAATATCTGAATAATGAACAATATAATTAAATCTCTTTACAACTTATGCAGGTAGACTAACACACTAATAAGATGTCCAAAGACCTTGACAGTATCATGGGTTTTAATTTTAAGGTAGCAAAACTACGACTGAAAATTGGGATTCATTTGATAAATAGTACTTTTTTGGTAGAGAACTTCTTGCGTTATTGTACATAATTAAATAATATTTTTGGCATCTTTGGTACAATGCTTACATATTATTGCACGAATATCCTTTTATAATTTTATTTTACATGTAGATATAAATAAAACATAAAGAAATTAATATTCAGTAGCTTGCTAACTGATGACCTAGCCTAACACAATGAGAGATATAATAGACATAAACAATTGTTTAATTTGGAAATTTAAAAACTTAGTTTGGTCCGATGTGGAAAAAAAAAGTCAGATACGCATATAAGATCATTTATATAAGTGTGAGTGTAGGCGGGAAGGTGCTAGTCAACGATTTACTCAGTTTAAACTGTAATGTACATGACGCAACCTACCCCAGGGGCAATAATTTGAACAATTTCAAATTTTCACTACATTAGAAATCTTTTACATGTTTTCCTTCTCTTCTTGCCCGATGGTCCTTGAGAAGAAAAATTTTTATGACCACTCCCTATTTTTGCCTCTTCTTGATTATCTCCCCTTGGAAAATGACTTGGCCCTTTACTTAAAAAAGATCAAAATAGAATCCTCTTTACTCAAGGATGCTTTGTGTCAAATTTGGTAAAAAATGACCAGGTAATTCTTGAGAACTAAATAAAGTGCAACGCCACAGCGCATTATACGCTCAAATACATGCATTGTTCATTTATCATAAACAGTTTAGAGTGCAAGGAAGAAAATCATGTCAACCTTGATTTCAATGATTTTTCAATTCCTTTGATGTTTGATGTACATCTCTTATGTTATAGGTATTTAATATAAAAAAGATGCCCATGTGCCACATGGCTTACCAGAGCACTGTGGCTAGCAAAAAGCCGAAATCAGTTCAGTATTAAAAGTTTCAAGACGTATAAAAGTTGGGGGGGGGGAGATAATTTGAACAAACCTGAAGGTACACTACCTGAGGATGCTTCTGAATTAATATCATTAAACATGCCTATATTGTTCTTAAAAGATTTCTTTTCTACAAGTTCAAAAGTAAAACTTTGATCCCTTTGAAAGAGCTAGGTTAACTATCTATTAAATGGCCCTGTCCATGTACTAAGTCCCAATGTCCAATTTTAAACATCAATATAAAATAGAGACTTAGTGCTTTCATTTCCTATAAAAAAGTTTCCTATGAGAGTCAAGGTATTGAAAAACAGGCTTTGTGAAATTGCAATGTTCTTGAATTTTGAAGAAAAATGGTGTATTTGAGTATCTTCTGTAAAGAATTAATATTAAAATATGTCCCCATCCCTCGATCCAAAAAAAAAAGAGTTGATTATAATCTCCTGAAACAGTTCTTTCATTATATAATTGAACATTTTGGATCAGAGGTTGGGGTCTATGCAAAACAGCTTAAATTTTCAGCCATTTTGAAGAAATTTTCAGGATTTGAGGATAATGATGCAATTCATGACGTCATAATACATGGACTAGCGAGAAAATTACGTCATTTTTAATAGATATGCAGTCACCAAGGGTCCAAGTGAAATTTAATGTATTTTCACCTAAAATTGAACAGTTCTGATTTTTCTGAAATTCACAGGGCCAAAAGACGCCCTTAGTGAACCTTTTTCTTTGAAAACTCAAAACACGTGTCAAGTACACGCACACACAAACACTCTGATCTCAACTCATTTTAATTAAGGATTCTTGCAGTTAAAATAACTCTGTTAATCTCAATCTGTAATCTTTAAAATATGGAAATAAATATTACACACGATATATGTAGATATCTACTGCACAGGCATGGATAGAGGTGATATTCTATTAAAATATCACATATATGTTGTATATAAAAATTGCCCGCCAAATTTTTGGCAACTGAAATGTGCTTTCCATTGTCTTATTTTGAGATTTATCTAATGAAAGATCTAGGTTTATTGTAAAATAAAGCAGTGGTAATCTAACAAGTACATGATAATATGTGTCTGAAAAAGAATAATTTCCAACGCATGTTTGTAATTAAAGTACACGTATAGTGGTGAAACCCAGTAGTTCAATTTGGCTGGAAGTCGGTTGAGTGTGTTATACACGATGTACATGTGGGCAGAAGGAAAGAATTTGAAAGGTGTGATAAACACACAGCGCCCCGGCCCCCCAGCTGTGTCCCAATCTATTTTTTAAGAAAGGTGTGGACTCAGAATTAACCTTAAGAAAGTATCAAATCACAACAGAAATACTTTCCGCGTAAACCACAGGCACTTGCAATTGACTGCTTCCGATTCAATAAATCTTAGAAAAGGGAGGCCGGAAGTTGATGCTTTCATGTAAATGCGAATTCCCTTCAGTTGTACGTATTTGATTGGTTAAAAGAAAAAGTAAAATTTCAATTCAAGTAATAATTTTAAAAAGGTAAACAAAGAACCTTGCGAAATATAAACTTCTTGATGGACACAAGTAAATTCAAAACCATTTCAAATTTGTTGTTATCGATATATAATTTAATTTTGTTTGTATTCTAGCCTCTGATTGGTTAATATCCAAAAAGGAACACAAATTATTTCTGTATAACCTGGTTTGGTATGGGGACACACCCCCCTGACAACCAGCTGAATCGTCTGTATCCATGCAATCCTCTCAATTCCAGTCCTCGGGATTCATGGAAAATTCCAGATTTAATAAATGTACCTTTAACTTCAAACAGTAACTCGGATCTTACCACATGTAAACAAAAAACATGGCTGCTAGGACTATGTATCAGTTTTTACCTCCCCTCGCTTCCCATCACTTCCGTTACTAGGGTTGTATTATTGAGCGGCAAATTTGAACTAATAAAAAGCAACGAAATTTTACACCCAGAGTTGTTTAATAATTTTAGAATTAAATTATAAGGAATGACTCTAATTCTTGGCCAAATTATTCGAGGATAACCTGGTTTGGGTCAGTTTACGCTATTTTATAATCATCTTCGCGGATTATAAAGCGTAAACTGACCCAAACCAGGTTATCCTCGAATAATTTGGCCAAGAATTAGAGTCATTCCTAATTTAATCTATCATCTGTACGATTCAGAGCACAGTTTCTTATAGATTCGAAAATGGTAATTAAACATATATCCAACTTTTTTCCCGTGATTACGTCATAATTGCTGAGCGAAGCCAATGCCCGTCCATTGACGCATCCACCATTAAAAACCATGAAAACGGTGAACATCTTTGTACTACACGATGATTAAGATTGGACTGAAAACCGCCGATATTACTTTTTAAAAATAAACATATACCTAGTATGTAGAAATACAGTTTGTTTTTAAATTGCCAATCACTTAGAGCGATATTTTTTGGTTCATTTATTTATGATTTATTCTATTTATAAAAAAAAAATGCCTCTGTTCACGTACGGTGCTGCACCCGCTTCTGCTTACCGAACTTTACGGCTATATACGGATTCCTCGCAGTTTTTCCAACCTAAGAAACTTGGCTTCTATGTAGAAACTGCATGGTTTGTGTTCGACAATTCACTTCATGAATTAAACAAAAATAAAAAAAAAAATACTTTAAATGTTAAATAATCTTCAGATAAAAATAATAACTTAAGAAGAATAAAAATATTCTTGTATATTGGTTTATTTGATTTTAAAGAGTATTATAGTTGCAATTTCCTTCAAGATTCAAAACATCAATATTATATATATATATATATATATATATATATATATATATATATATATATATATATATATATATATATATATAGTTTTACATACGAACTTCTTTGCATTGAAAACTGTTTGTATCGGCGGTTATAAAGGCTGGACGCATAAAATACAATTTATCATTAGGGGCAACCAGCATCAAATGAAAATTTACTATAGCAGATACCCCCCCCCCCCCCCCCCCCCGTGTTCTACGGGCCTGCAAATGATTTTCTCGTTTTCTTAAAACACAAACAATTTCATATTAATATAATCACAAACAAAAACAACCACGTAGCAAGAATGTAAAAGAACAAGAGGCCCGTTCTTCTGAGAAATTGTACTACATATCTCCTTACTTTCATATAAGGATAAAGCCTTGAAACTCCAAAAGTAGGATAGCATGACCTAAATTTTGGTTAACACACTCTAAAAACGCAAAATGCATCAACTGAAAAAAAATTGATGATTCTAAGTCCCTTATTTTCTTAAATATTCAGATATAACCATAAAATGCCAAAAGAAAGTCACAATGACCTACTTTTTGGTTAATATACTCTGAGATGTATCAATTGACAAAGCTTGATGATATCAAAATAGAAATTTCGAAAAAATCCCAATTTACTTGTATACTAAAGATCTAGTGATATATTTTTTTTTTTATATTTTTTTCTTCTGTAGTCATTTAAAGTCTCTTGGGCGTCATTACTACATCTAAATCAAACTGGACCGCTCTCCGGTGCGCCATAACGTCGTCAAACGTCGCCATTTTTCGTGTAACCGCTTTACTATTTCAAATGCTCGGGAAATTCCCAAAATTTATGTAATTGCCTTAATATTTATAAAATGAAGACATAATAAATAGTCGTTTAAAAATATGATAGTTTTTAACCCAACCATATCTATGTAATACTTTTATTTCGAAATAATACTCGCGTATTCTCAAATGAAACCTGCATTTTTGATCGTACGTCGTAGGACCGTACCTTGTGAACGTTCAAGTATAATGAAATTTTTATTTTTTGTCTACATTTTATAAAAAAAAATTAAGATGTATTTAAATATGATAAATAAACATTTGCTGAAAATTTCAGCTTAGTTCGCCCATTATTTTTCGATAAAAAGCTTTGTCCACTATTTTACCGGACAACCCGCGTACAAGGATTTCTTGATTTAACACAATTTAGCA